AAGGAAGATGTGGGAAAAGAGCAGGAGCTGCATTGTCCCTGTCATCAAGAGATGAGGCTGTGCCCCTTGCCCATGCAATTGCTTCCTCCCTTGCTGGAGAGACAGAGACATGGACATAGAGGCCAAGTGGAGGCAGGGTTGTGGAGGTCYATGCTCAGAGGGTCGAGTGTCTTGCAGGATGTTTTTTATTGTCAGGGTGCGTGGGGAGGCTCTTTAGCAGGGGTAGCAGCCTCTTCCGCGGGCAAAGCATCCAAGACCTCCAAAGCCAGCGCCGTAGCCAAATCCAAAGGCACCAGAGTTGATGGGCACTCCCTGAGCGCTCAGGTTTGCCCCCACAGCGGCAGAGGAGGAGGATCCGACGGCAGTGTTCTGGGGGAAGGAGCTGAGGATGGGTCCGGGCAGGGTGACCACAACGGTGGAAGGCTGGATGACAACGCGGGAGTCCTCGCACTGCCTGACACAGGGCTCGTTGCAGCTGTTAGCCAGCGGGGTGGGTCCGCAGGGGCGGCAGAGGTCGTTGCAGGCCATGGCTGTGTTGCTGGGAGGGCCCTGGAAGACCTGGGGTTGAGAAAGAGTTAGGAGGCTGGTGTGAGGAGGCCCAGGGTGTTGTGAACCTGTGCCCGTGTTGTGGGAATCAGAGGTGTCAGAAGGCAGCAGAGATGCGGGTGGTCTTTTTAGGGGGGGCCATAAAAAGAGGCTCTGGATTTTGCTTCATGCTGCATGGGACTAGTGCTGTTGGGAGTGTGAGCAGTAGCATGAGGCCTGATTCGTTCTGCTTGTGTGTGTGCAGAGGTGGAGTGAGAGCATGAGAGTGATAAAGAGCAAGGAGGCAGCGAGGGATATGATGCGTTGAAGGCAGTGAGGGAGTTTTTGTGTTTGGAAGTAGAGGGCAGTGTGCAGGTGGGAGAAAAGGACTCTCCCTTTGAGAGCGTAATGCAGTTTGGCCATGATTTCCGAGGAGAGCGCACGCGGGGGAATAGAGTATAGTAGAGTGGAGGAGGGAGTAAGTGCTGTGAGTGTGTATGAGCAGGGAAGAGAAGGCAGTTGTGGGAAGAAGGGCCCGGAGGTTGAGACTCACCTTGTTGCTGGAGGAGGCGAAGGCGTGAGGAGAAGTGTGTGAGGGAGTGCAGTGCTGTGCTGGTTTTTATGCTGCTCCCGGAGCACCTTAGGCGATGAGACGCCCCTTGCGCATGCCAGCATTTAGGATGTGGCTCGCCTTGAAGGCCCAACCCTGCCAAGTCATGACATTTGGGTTGGATTTCCTTCCGGCAAAGCTCTCCTTTCATTTGCTGCTCTGTTGGAGGTGCCCATTATGATGAAGCGGTCCCTTTCAAGGGTGCCTCTCAAGTTGGGCGGCTCTAGTTGAAGGTGCTTGTGAGGCCAAGGGGACCCCCTTGTGAAAGTGTAGGCAAGCCTGGGTGTCAGCAGTGAGGTCACAGTGTGGTAGTTTCCTGATGTGGTTAGGGTCCGTGTTGTRTGGAGCSTCCCCCTTTTTGTGAGTGAGCAGGAAGGCTGGTGTGTCATTGGCAGGAGTGTGGGTCCTGTGGCCGCGCCCCTTAAATCACGTTGCCTGCCTTGCTGTGATCTGCGCAATGTTTTGTTTAGGCCTCGCTATAGTGGTGAGCTTGACTCCTCTGGTGTATTTCCAGCTGCGATGTCTGTGTGGTGTCAGTAAAGGAAAGGAGTCTGTGTGTGTTGCATCGTGTGCAGTGGTGTGGCCATGCGTGGTGGCCCCAACAGAAAGAGCAGTGACAGCTGGAGAAGTCTTCTGTGGTAGCAGGGCCTGCACTTGTGTTTGTCTTACAGGTCAGACTTGTCTCCTAAGTGTGGCACTGGTCACTGCCTAGGGTTCTCCTTTCTTCCCCTCAGCACGTTGCCAACGTGCTGTTCCTCTGCACACAGTCCTTCGTGAATGTCTTTYGGGAATGCTGTGGAGGRTTGTAAGAGGTGGTGAGAGGCATTTGTGGCATGGGAGCGTGAGTCAGGGCAAGGACATTCGGGTTGTGGCATGTGAGTGAGTGGCAGGGGTCGAGGGGAGTGCTGTGTGGAGTTTTGGAAGGTTCAGGGTTGCCACTGTTTCCT